GATTAATGGGGCATTGCTATAAAGATACCTGAAAATGTGGAAGCAACTTTGGAATTGGGTAACAGGCAGGGGTTGGAACAATTTGGAAGGCTCAGAAGAAGATAGGAAAATGTGGGAAAGTTTGGAACTTCCTAGAAACTTGTTGAATGGCTTTGACCAAAATGCTGATAGTGATATGGACAATAAATCTCAGGCTGAAGTGGTCTCAGACAAAAATAAGGAACTTGGGAACTTGAGTAAAGGTCACTCTTGCTAAGACTGGCAGCATTTTGCCCCTGCTCTAGAGGTCTGTGGAACTTTAACTTGAGAGAGATAATTGAGGGTATGTGGTGGAAGAAATTTCTAAGCAGCAAAGTGTTCAAGAGGAAGCAGACCATAAAAGTTCAGAAAATTTGCAGCCCAACAATACGATAGAAAAGAAAAACCCATTTTCTAGGGTGAAATTCAAGCCAGCCGCTGACATTTACATAAATAATGAGAAGCCAAATGTTAATCACTAAGACAATGAGAAAAATGTCTCCAAGACATGTCAGAGGTCTTCACAGCAGCCCCACGCATCACAGGCCTGAAGGCCTAGGAGGAGAAAATGGTTTCGTGGGCTGGGAAACCTTGCTGCTTTGTGCAGTCTTAGGACTGGGCACCCTGTGTCCCAGCCATGGTTAAAAGAGCCCAATGTACAGCTCAGACCATTGCTTCATAGGGTGCAAGGTCCAGGCCTTGGTGGCTTCCATGTGGTGTTAAAACTGTGGGCACACAGAAGTCAAGAACTGAGGTTTAGGAATTTCCACCTAGATTTCAGAAGATATATGGAAATACCTGATGTCCAGGCAGAAATTTGCTGCAGGCATAGAGCCCTCATGTAGAACCTTGTTAGGGCAGTGCAGAAGGGAAATGTGGGGTTGGCATCCCCACAGCAATTCTTCACTGGAGCACTGCTTAGTGGAGCTTTGATAAGAAGGCCACCATCCTCCAGACCCCAGAATGGTAGATTCACCAACAGCTTGCACAGTGTACTTGGAAAAGCTGCAGACAATCAATGTCAGGCCATGAAAGATTGTTTTGGTATTATTTCAATAACAGTAATTGAATCATGGGGTGGGTCTTTCCTGGGCTGTTCTCATGATCACAAATATGTCTACAAGATCTAATGATTTTATAAAGAAGAGTCCCTCTACACATGCTCTCTTGCCTGCTGCTATGTAAAACATGTCTTGCTTCCCCATTACCTTCTGCCATGACTGTGAGGCCTTCCCAGCCATGTGGAACAGTGAGTCAATTAAAACCTCTTTTCTTTATAAAGTACCCAGCTTTGGGTATGTCTGTATTAGCAACATGAGGACAGACTAATACAACTTCTAAAGCAGAAATCGTTCCTTTAGACTGCCAGGAAAGGGCTAAAAAGAGGCTATACCTTCCTTCAGAGGGATACCATTTCCAAGATAATATTTCATTCAGGCAGCACCAAGTGTGTTTCTACCATCTGTGGCTGATATGAACATCCCCTGGAACAAGGACACACCATGCCCTGGGATGTGAGAGGCTCTTTAATAGAAAACTTAAAATGCTTAGTAAGAAATGTGTAATGACAGGTAACTTCCTCTCCTTGTCTCCTGTCCTTCCTCCTCAATACCACTTCATCTCTTCCTTTTCAACTCTTCCCTACTTTCCTGGTCCTTGACCTTACCTCTGAGAAAACACAAGTTCTCGCTGCTTCTTGCAATTCAACTTTCCTCTTTCCCCACTTCCTGGGTGATGGACAAAGCAGAAGCCAATGCTAAGAGGAAAAAAATACATAACAGAAGCAGGTAGAAAAGGGAAGTATGTGGGTTGACTTCTCATCAAATGATTCCCTGGCTGGAAACGTTACCTATTGCCTCCAGAGCTCTCAGTGCCTATAGCCACAGACATGCTTGTGACCTGGTTTGAAACAGCAAAATGTGTTGCTCTCCATAGAAATGTGCTAGAGCCTCCCTAGGTCACATCCCCAGTGCCTCCATGTAATCACACTAAGTTCAACCGACCATATCTTACTCAAAACATAAATCAAATTCATCTTTTTGAGACAGGGTCTTGCTCTGTCACCCAGGCTGGAGTGCAGTGGCATCATCTCTGCTCACCGCAACCTCTGCCTCCTGAGCTCAAGCCATCTTTCCACCTCCGCTTCCCAAGTAGCTGGAACTACAGGCGCATATCACCATACCCAGATAATTTTTGTATTTTTTGTAGAGAGAGGGTTTCTCCATGTTGCCCAGGCTGGTCTCAAAGCGCTGAGCTCAAGCAATTCTCCCGTCTTAGCCTCCCAAAGTGCTGAGATTACAAGCAGGAGCCATCACGCCAAGCCCAAATTCAGCTTTCAAGGTATAATTCATTGCTAAATGAAACACATTTGCTGTTATTAATGATTTAAAATTTCCTTTGTTTTGGTATTATTTCAATAACAGTAATGAATCTACATCAATATCTCCATCTAAATATGTAATGTATGAACCCTATATAATACATAAACCCTTCCATAAATCTTGTTACAATTCTTTTAGATGAATGAAAATTCTATATTCATAGATCCAGTGTTATTTTTAAATTAAGTCAATTTGAAATGATAAACTGTATGATTCTGTTCTTATATCATGAACCAACCTGAGATAAATTCCACCATTCCTTTACTTCAGCAGCACATAAAATATCAAGGCCAGGTCAAACTAAAGTTTACATTTTCTTTACATCTAGAATTTTTTAAGGTGTTGTTGGAGAACTGGAGAAGGCAGCAAAGATTCTTCTTAAATTTGGAACATGTGGTCATCTTACAAGAAACATGTCAAGGTACTTAGAAACACACACCTTTAGTGTGCACATGTAAGAAATAAAATGAATTTAAAGATACAGTTTTGAAAAGCTATCTTTCCCCAGCAAATTCTTTGTGGACCATAGTAATAGCTTCTAAAAATCAAGACTTTTGACTGCACAAGTGTTCTTTTTTTTTTTTTAATTTAAATTTAAATTTTGTTGAGACAGTGTCTTTATCTGTTGCTGGCTCACTGCAACTTCCACCTCCCAGGTTCAAACGATTCTCCTGCCTCAGCCTCCCAAGTAACTGGGATTACAGGCGCCCGCCATCACACCTGACTAATTTGTGTATTTTTAGTAAAGATGGGGTTTCACTATATTGGCCAGGCTGGTTTCGAACTACTGACCTCAGGTGATCTGCCCGCCTAGGCCTTTCCAAGTGTTGGGATTACAGGCGTGAACCACTGTGCCCAGCCAGGTGTTCTTTGTAAATACTTAACTTTGACAACAAATATTAGCCCATTTATGAAACTTTCTGTATTGTCCTTTTAATAATGGGTATACCATTTTGCCATTATATAAAGGGTCCCCAGGCGCTGTCCTTAGTGCTGAGGATGGCTGCTGTGCTCATTGGATTTTGGAAAAGAGGGCTGCTCAGAAACAGCTTTAGAACAGAATCATGACTTAGAGAGATCCAGAAAGAACCTTAGCCTTTCTGTCTCGTCCTCTCCTTTAATAGGTAAAGGGTATGCAATTACCCAGAATCTCACAGCAAACATCACATACCCTCAAGGCTTTTGGGTCCTATATCCAGAGCATGAGGCCTGGCAAGAGGACCTGGTATTACTGTGTCTGAGCCCCACCACCCGCCATCAGGGGTGCTTCAAGCACAGTTTTTAATCCCTTGGAGCCCCAGTCTATAGAATAAAAACAGTACCAACCTCATAGGGCTATTTTAAGCGCTAAATGTCACAACATACATAAAATATTTAACCCTGTATCTGGCACCTCGTAGATGAATGGAAAATGTTGACTATTGTTTTATATGATAACACAATACATAGTATTATGCTACAGTGTAATGAGAATACTGGGAAAGGCCGGGCACGGTGGCTCACACCTATAATCCCAGCACTTTGGGAGGCCGAGGCGGGTGGATCACGAGGTCAAGAGATCGAGACCATCCTGGTCAACATGGTGAAACCCCGCCTCTACGAAAAATACAAAAAATTAGCTGGGCATGGTGGTGCGTGCCTGTAATCCCAGCTACTCAGGAGGCTGAGGCAGGAGAATTGCCTGAACCCAGGAGGTGGAGGTTGCAGTGAGCCGAGATGGTGCCATTGCACTCCAGCCTGGGTAACAAGAGCAAAACTCCATCTCAAACAAAAAAAAAAAAAAAAAAAGAGAGAGAATACTGGGAAAAATTAAAGTCAAGCAATATTTTACACCACAATACAACAGCATGTTTTTTATCCAATAAAATACTTTAAAAAGAGGTTGGAAAACACTGATTTTGATGATGAACACCAGGTACACCAACACGTCTCAAAAATCAAGGCAGAAGCTTTATCCTACAAAGCGCTGACATCCAAAGGGAGGCTACTTCATTCTTGACACAGAAAAGAATTTCGCTTTTAGTGTCTTTCATTATTTTGGCAAGTGCGTGACTCACTCGATTTTATACCACAGCTTTATTGGGATATAATTCACATACCATCCAATTTACCCACTAAAATGAAGAACTTGGGTAGGGGTTAGTATATTTGCAGCACTGTGTAACCATGACCGTGATTTATTTTAGAACATTTTTCATTACTCCAGAAGAAACCCCATGCCATTAGCATTAATTGACTTGATTTGTAATCTGCAATTCTTTCTACTAGTTTTTGAATATTTCTGAATCCGAGAAGCCTCTCTGTGTTTCCAACCACATGAGACCATGGCAGCTGGTCGACTCGCTTCCTCCTCCATCCGCACTTCTTTCATTCCTGTCCACCTGCAGCTTTCAGTTAACCCCACCCCTGCTTTCTGTTGTATCTTGTATTCCATCAAGAGACGTTAAAGTACCGACTCCTCACTCTGACGTTTGCAATCCTCACAATTTCGCACCAGTTCTCTCGCCACTATTCATCCCCAATCTAAATTAATTCAGCTTTGCCAAAGTGTGGGAGATGAAAAACATTCTATCCATAAAAACCACACTCATAACGTTATCATTCAGGCATAAAAACACATTTATTGGTCAAAACGTTTACAAATGGAAAGCTTTTAAAAAACACACTATAGCACATCCCATGTAGGAAATATAAAAACTTCACAGTCTCCTATGAAGATTTTAACAAGTAATAAACTGTGTTATTCCATAGTTTTGAGTGATAAAAAGGAGGTAGCTTCTTAGATAAATTCTACCTCTTTTTACTTAGGGAATTAAATTATTTCTCATAAACACATGAGTAAATATCATTGTGATCCTGGATAAATTCCAGTAGCAATTTGATATATATAATTTGTGATTACATTATATATAATTTGCGATTTTTATATATATATAATTTGTGATATGTACAGATATGTAAAACATCTGCGTGTGTGTGTTTGTATATGCACGTATAGATACACATGCCAAGAAAGTGAGACAATCATTCTAGCTCACTGCATTTCTGGAGGAACAGAAAAAGTGACAGAGGCAGAGGAAAAGGTAGAATTATCAGATAAACCTACACCTCCGATGAGACCTTATTGCCCTGACAGACAGAAGGCCAGGCAGAGGCCATAAGATACAGGCAGAAGTGACCTTGAGGATCATTCACTCTTAACCCTATTTACATAGGAAAGAATGGAGCCCAGGTCACGTAGCCAGTTACTAAAAGATCAAAGGCTGAAGGACTATCTAAAACAGAAGACTGGAGCATAGAAAAGAGTGGGGCAACCAGGTTCTCATTCTCTGATTGCCCCTACATCACTGCACACCCATACTGCAGGGTCTAGAATCCAATCAGAAAGAGTTCAGGCTCCAAGTTGGTCTGGAAATGGAGTAGGAGAGAATTATGCAGCCCTTGGGAACAGCAGGAACATCGGGTTTATGTCTGTTCTTGAGAGAGCCTAAGATGATTCTTCACCAGAACCTAAGAGCTATTTAAAAAAAAAAAAAAAAGCAGCTGTGATAACCCAGCTGAATGAGGCTGGAGCCAGAAATGAGTCTGGGCTTAGCACTGTCACTGAGGTGACAGAAGTTTGGCCTCCACCTCTGTTGAGTAACAGGATTGCTCTGGCCTGCATTAATGATCACAGAACGACTGATGAAGACTTTTTTCTGGTTCTGTCAGTTGCCATGGGCATATGACACCTTGCCTTATTCACTCCTCCAATACATAAGGCTCTAGAGGCTAAACTTGTTGTTGGAAACTTGGACTTTGCCCAAGACACATCACCAAAATAGCTCTCACAAAAGGGAAAAATCAACAATGATGTATACCGGCCCCCAAAAAGAAAAATGTTCTCAGTGCCAATAAGATAGCTTGCTTCAGCCCTATTTAATCCCTTACTTCAAGTGGATTTTTAATCACACTCTTTTTTTTTTTTTGACACTTCTGTTTTATAGGAGGATTTTTAGGTTTATTATTCAGCAATCATAGACCAGCAGTACCACCTGCTCAATCTGGGGCAGAGTAATACGAAGATGGAGTTATTTTTCATCTGCATGAAACTTCACTGGGGTTCAACTGCTTCATCGGCAGGAAGAATAATTAGGCAGATGGTGAAGTCCCTTCTAGTGCTAAAATTTGCCTTCTTTGGCACAATCCACAAGATTTCTAGGTTAGTGCACAAACATTCCCCAAGAAACTGCTAGAGACCACCTCTGTCTGGGTCAGGATCGAAATGCAAACAAGATCCAGATTCTGCTACTGAGGAAGTCATCATCCTACGGGTTAACATGGATTGAGATAAACTTTTTCCTTTTGATAGAAGATTGTAAGGCACTAAGCTGCAGGTGTTTGGGAAGGATTGACTATAACAACAAAAAATATAAGATACTAGAAAAATCCCTTTGTTTTTAATATAAAGAACTGTTCTGTGTTTGCTCTCTTAGAGAAACTAGGGCAACTGGTTGGTTATTTTAGAAGTCGCTCTGTTTTTCTTCCTTACAAAGATATACAAATTCTACTTGAAGTAACTCCTCCAGCTCTACAAATAGACATTTGGCCACTTAGGTTAAAAAAACAAATATGCTGTAATCCCAGCACTTTGGGAGGCCAAGGTGGGTGGATCACCTGAGGTCAGGAGTTTGAGACCAGCCAGACCAACATGGTGAAATCACCCCATCTCTACTAAAAATAAAAAATTAGCCAGGTGTGGTGGCACATACCTGTAATCCCACCTACTTGGGAGGCTAAGGCAGGAGAATCACTTGAACCCAGCAGGTGGAGGTTGCAGTGAGCTGAAATCACGCCATTGCACTCCAGCCTGGGCAACAAGAGTGAAACTCCATCTCAAAAACAACAACAACAACAACAAAAAACCCTACAAATATGAGAACCAGCCATCTTGGGCTACTGGAAAAAGCAGCCAATCAACAAATCCCGTCAATGGGATCTCTTGTCAGAGGAAAAGTATAGAGCTAATGCACCCCAAAACTATTTTCATCTTTATCACAAACTTTAGTAGGCTGCATCAGTGAGGTAGTTTGAAAGAAATGTAAAGTTACAGATGTGCGGACATTATAACCAGATTCCGTCTCCATGCTTCTTATGATAGAAACGTACATTCTACGGAAAGCAGGAATTTCACTTTTAATGCTATGCATACAATAAAGATTCACCCATCATCCCTAAAGTACACACATTTGGACTGTTTTCACAGTAGTTGCCAGGGTTTTGCAGCAAAATATCTAGCATCATTTACTGTTCCCCTTTGAAAAGGGCGAACCTGGCTGTCCTTCATAAGCACTGAAGCTGCAACCTTCAATGTGAGCATAATAGACTTAGCTAGTCATCAACAATTTTATTTTCTTGCTGCAAGAGAAAAGCAATGACTCAGGCTGTACCCAGGATGCAATGGAAACACAGGGAAAATTGTCCAAATCAAACAGCATACATGCACGTCTTCCCAAGGAAATGTTTCTCTTATAGTGTTCCAGGGTTATTTCTGTTATCATTGTTTTGCCTTGCTGTTTAAAAAAAAATTTTTCTTTTTCAAGATGGAGTTTCTCTCTCGTCACCCAGGCTGCACCCAGGCTGGAGTGCAATGGCGCGATCTCGGCTCACTGCAACCTCTGCCTCTCGGGTTCAAGTGATTCTCTTGCCTCAGCCTCCTGAGTTGCTGGGATTACAGGTGTGCACTACCATGCCCAGCTAATTTTTGTATTTTCAGTAGAGACGGGGTTTCACCATGTTGGCCCAGGCTGGTCTCGAACTCCTGGCCTCAGATGATCCACCCACCTTGGCCTCCCAAAGTTCTGGGATTAGAGGCATGAGCCACTGTACCCGGCTGCTGTTTAAAATTTATGTGCAATTACCTAGTAGATGGAAACCTTACAATGGAAGAGATCTCCATCAACCCATACTAGTGAATATGTCCAACAGTTGTCTGGTAGCAAAAATTCATATCAAAAAATTCATTTGCAATCTACAGGACTAAATGGAACTTACAGGTATGCTTTGCATACATGAATAGACTTCTGGCATGGCTGAATTAAGATCTCTAGATATTGCAATATGTAAAGAGATAACCCCATCATCCCCGCCCCCTATCATGTGTACTGAAAAATAACATTTTATGTATGCCAAAATTACAGTTGCTTATGCCTAGATTTTTAATGGCAAAATTTTAGATAATTTCATGAGAGCGAACTTTTTTCACTTTTTAATGCCTCTGATTTACAAGCATGGGCTTTAACTGCCTGATAGATAAAAAAGCTTGGTAGATAAAAGCCTGGTCTCTCAATACTAAGTGTGAGATTAAAACTCATACCTCTGTGAAATCGCAAAGATGATGTGGCATGGTCTTTTAATAACCTGCTCCAAGGGGATACAACTCATGGTTTTTGTTTAGTTTAGTTTAGTTTTGTTTTGTGAGACAAGTCTTGCTCTGTCGCCAGGCTGGAGTGCAGTGGCGCGATCTTGGCTTGCCGCAATCTCTGCCTTCTGGGTTCAAGCAATTCCCCTCCCTCAGCCTCCCAAGTAGCTGGGACTATAGGTGCACGCCACCATGCCTGGCTAGTTTTGTATATTTTAGTAGAGACGGGATTTCACCATGTTGGCCAGGCTGGTCTCGAATTCCTGACCTCAAGTGATCTGCCCACCTCGACCTCCCAAAGTTCTGGGATTATAGGCATGAGCCACCACGCCCGGCCCAACTTGTCGGTTTTAAAAATAAGTGAAAGGCCCTGCTTTGATCAAGCCAGGGTCAGTGGACTCCTGGATTGCTCAACAAGGGTGAAATCAAAGGGATTCTGGCCTAAAAACCTTCCTGTAGAACAACTGAGAAGTTTCCGGGTTTTGCATTTGTGTGTGTGTGTGTGTGTGTGTTGGTGGGGGGGGGGGGGGCGGTTACATGCTTTCCTTCTTAAGGTATTACCCAGCATGATTGCACTTTGCTGTGACTAAATCTCAATCCGCGCCCTAACCCAGAGCTGAGTATTTAAAAATTGGAAACCTGAAGACCTATTTCCAATAAGTGGGGAGGCAACTCCATAAAGTTGCCTACAAGCACTCACATCTAGCAGTGGACATGGTTTAGAAATAGACATTCTTCTTGTCCACTGACTAGTTACTTAACACTTAGTGACTAATTATCAGAAACCTCTTTCTGACTTGCTCCCTATCAATTGGTTTACCAGTTGTTGATTACTGGTGCAGAACAATCAGACACAGCAAATATTCTCCTTCTGCGTGCAATAGCGGATCTCGGCTCATTGCAACCTCCACCTCCTGGGTTCAAGAGGTTCTCCTGCCTCAGCCTCCCAAGCAGCTGGGATTACAGGCATGTGCCACCATGCCTGGCTAATTTTGTATTTTTTAGTACAGACAGGGTTTCTCCATGTTGGTCAGGCTGGTCTCGAACTCCCAACCTTAGGTGATGCATCCATCTCAGCCTTCCAAAGTGTTGGGATTACAGGCGTGAGCCACCGTGCCCAGTTAGGTGGGTCTTATCTTAAAACAGGTCTCTTCCTATGGTGTGGCTTTAAAAATTCTCAGCTTAATGGCAATGTTTGTTTGCATGTTCAGCTACAAATACATTCATCAAACAAATACTTGTTTTGTGCCTACTAAGCACCATAAGCTGACCTGGGCACTGAGGGGACATCAGGAAGCAGGAAGGGCAAAGTCCCTGATCATGCTGGGTCAGAGAAGAGTCCAAAGCCTGGCAAACTATGAACTAGACATATCTCACCAGGGAGAACACTCTCTTTTAGAGAAAATTTTATGATGAAAAGGCCATTCAGGAAGAAAATTAACACCGTTTCTATTAGCACAAAACCTTTTTGGAATTTCCAGAATTTCTAGTCCTAAATCATGTGGAAAAGCCTATCTTCCAAATAGATTTCCTTCTCTACAGCAAAGGAGCATGATTCTAAGCATAAATAGAAGTGAGGAGACAGCTCCCGTCCACATGAGTTTTTGTATGACCAATAGATCCCATTTTGAAAATGGCATAAAAATCCTGCGCTGTTGTATAAAAATGTGCTGTTGGTATGACCAAAGGCTCAAACTAAGTATTCAAAGTATCCTTGGTCATTAACAGATGACCTGTTGAAGCAGAAAAAATATTTCCTCCAGCTGTATACGGCGAACTATTTTACACACTGTCTCCCAGACGGCTGGCTGCGGTGAACGTCAGCTGTCGCACTTCATGAAAACACCGCCTTAAGTTATTGTGATGTTTAGTAAAAGGGTTTAATTAGTATTATTATTATTTGAGACAGTCTCACGCTGTCGCAATGGCATGATCTTGGCTCACCACAACCTCTGCCTCCTGGGTTCAAATGATTCTCCTGCTGGCAGCCTCTGAGGGGCTGGGATCACAGGCATGCACCACCACGCCCTGCTAATTTTGCATTTTTAGTAGAGATGGGGTTTCTCCGTGTCTCAAACTCCCAACCTCAGGTTATCCACCCACCTCAGGCTCTCAAAGTGCTGCAATTACAGGCGTGAGCCACCACACCCAGTTTAATTTTTGTATTTTTAGTAGAGACAGGGTTTTACCACATTGGCCAGGCTGGTCTCAAACTCCTGACCTCAAGTGATCTGCCTGCCTCGGCCTCCCAAAGTGCTGGGATTACAGGCAAGAGCCACCACGCCTGGCCAGGTCTAATTATTTTTTGAAGCTTTCTTTTGTTTTTTGAAGCATATGAATAATTCTAAACCTGCTCATAACCTGAAAATGATTTAGCCTTCATAAGCAAGGAAAATTATTAAAAGTCTGATAGCCATCTCCATCCCTATCCTACAGTTGTCTACTGTGCTTGTATTTACCACAGATACATCAGCATTCATCACCATAAATGATACTTTTCTGTTGCAAATCTGACGCCACAGGCAAAAGAAAAAATAAACTTATTTAAAATACTTATTCCCACAGTTGTCCTTTACGCCTTATTCCAGTCCAGTCATTTAAAAATGAGAGTCTTGTGCTCTGGAATGCCATACTTTCCTTTGTGCTCCTCAAATAATTTCCTAAGCTCCTCCATATAGGTCTGATGTAACTCCTCAATCTGCTCCAGGGTCGGGTGCAGAGTCTGACGCACAGGGATCGGGCGGCCAACTGCGGAAAGAGATAATACATCATACGTGAGGAACTAAAGCCACTCCACCACAGACCGCTGCCTGTAATACACAGCTGCGGACACAACTGCCAATCAGAATCCCTCGAGCCTGCTCATCCCATCCTTGTTTTGTTTCACTAGCTGCCTACAGTGGTCACACCATTCCATCCGATAACAAATAAAGAACTTTCTTCCGAGGCAGACACTGCATTGTCAGGACCCTGGTGGTTTGGACTTGGAGTCAAATGAGCTACTGTGCTGACTGCAGCTGGGAGGTGAGTGGACATAGCTGTGTGTCCACGTCACCAGCTTCCTCCCTCTGGGACAGTTGACAGCCAGACCACAGTGCCCTGATTATTACTGTGAATCCTCGAGTCACATGGCAGTCCTGTAGTCTCTCTATCTCTTTTTTTTTTTTTTTTTTTTTTTTGAGACAGAGTCTCATTCTGTCACCCAGGCTGGAGAGGAGAGCAATGTCACAATCCCGGCTCAAGACAACCTCCACCTCCTGAGTTCAAGCAATTCTCTTACCTCAGCCTTCCCTGAGTAGCTGGGATTACAGGCTCCCACCACCATGCCTGGCTAATTTTTTTTTGTATTTTCAGTAGAGCCGGGGTTTTGCCATGCTGGACAGATTGGTCTTGAACTCCTGACCTCAAGTGATTCGCCTACCTCAGCCTCCCAAAGTGCTTGAATTACAAGCATGAGTCACCCGAGCCGGGCCTAGTCTGTCTCTTTCGAATGTCTTTTTTTAATATATATATAGAGACGTGGTCTCTCTGTGTTGCTCAGGCTGGAGTGCAGTGGCTACTCACAGGCACAATCCCGCTACTGATCAGCATGGGAGTTTTGACCTGCTCCGTTTCCGACCTGGGCTGGTTCACCCCTCCTTAGGCAACCTGGTGGTCCCCCGCTCCCGGGAGGTCACCATATTAATGCCGAACTTAGTTTGGACACCAGATCGGCATAGCGCACTGCAGCCCAGAACTCCTGGGCTCAAGCAATCCTCCCACCTCAGCCTCCCAAGTAGCTGGTACTACAGGCACGCGCCACCGTGCCCGGCTTTTTTTTTTTTTTTTTTTTTTAACGGAGTCTCACTCTGTCATCCAGGCCGGAGTGCTGTGGTGCAGTCTTGGCTCACTGCAACCTCCACCTCCTAGGTTCAAGTAATTCTCCTGTCTCAGCCTCCCGAGTACCGGGGCTACAGGCGCACCAGGCCTGGTTAGAATGTCTTTATAAACAATTAAAAACTATATATCTTCACAGCTAAGTATCTATATTAGAGAAATACACAAGAATTACATGGATTCCACTGTTTGTAATAGTGGATAACTGAACACAACTAATGTCTCAATAGAAAAGCTGTTATATAAACCACATGATAGTCATTCAATAGAATCCTAGGCAGAAATTTTTAAACAATGAAGTAATACAAATATAAATATGTGTACACAAACACACAAATACACACATTTTAGATGTCTAAAATGTATTAAGTGGAAAAATAATTTGCAAAATAATACAGCATGATCCATTTTGAAAAAACAAGTTTATATTTCTAGAACTATTATACGTTTTTAGTGCATGGAAAAAGTCTGGGAAGAGAGGGAAACATTTTTCAGAAAGGAAGTAGGAATCGGGAAATTTCACTCTAACTGTATTTTATAAATTTTCTGCAAATGAGAATGAATTTGTATTTTTCCAAATATACGAATTAAAAACAAATCTGGCAATCTCTATACATATTTTAAAAGGTGTTTACGTAATAACATCTCACTTGCCTCTGATTTTAGAGAATACAAAAATTCCCATGGCTTTGGCGCTGGCACTCACTGCGCCCCCTGCTGGTCGGATACTGCTACTGATGGCAAGCGTTGAAAATGTACAGGATGTGCAATGAGGTGGCAAACTGCTGCCTCTGACCTCATTAGCTTGGGCATGAGGTCAGGTGGGCTCTAGGTAATGAACAGGACTCACAGTGGAGCAATCTTTGTCATACCCTGAGTCACCCCATGTCACATACGAGGCTCTGATTCATGTCAGTAAGAGTAGGTGGTTAGCTAACCAAAAAAATGAGGAAATGTTAAGTCACAGAGAAGGAAAAAAGTGATAAATGACATCAGTATGGGAGCTGAGGGGGCACAGAGAAGGAGACACACACACACACACACACACACACACACACACCCTTACTGCAACACTCATATTCTCAAATTGCTAAGAATTTAACCAGATACAGCCTCAAAAATCTCAAGTGGTTTCCTTTGGTAGCTTGGATGTCGAATTTAGTAGACATAAGTCCTGTCTAACTCAATGCAAAGAACTGGAAGCAATCATATCACTGTCAGTGGTGGCTGGAGATAAGGACTAGCAGAGGCTAACGTAGTGATGAGGTGGAATTGGGAACGGGAATTGCACGAAATCACCAGGCTGGGCTGGTTCACCACAGTTCACCAGCAAGTGCACTGGGCAAGTGACTTACTTCCTTCCTTCCTTCCTTCCTTCTTTCCTTCCCTCCCTCCCTCCCTCCTTTTTCCTTTCCTTTATTTCCTCTCCTTCCGTGTTATAACATGCTGGAGTGTAATGGCGCGATCTCAGCTCACTACAACTTCCACCTCCTGAATTCAAGCAATTCTGGTGCCTCAGACTCCCAGGTAGCTGAGATTACAGGCATGTGCCACCATGCCCAGACATTTTTTTTTTTTTGTATTTTTAATAGAGACCAGGTTCACTATGTTGGCCTTGCTGGTTTCAAACTCCTGGCTTCAAGTGATCCACCAGCCTCAGCCTCTCAAAGCACTGGGTCAGCGTGAGCCACCACAGCCAGCCTCTCTGGCCTTAATTTTCACATGCATAGGAAAAAAGAGTAGAACTCCAAAATCTTAAAGCTTTCTTCCTGTTGCTTGAGGACGATATTGAGAAATCTACATGCAAATCTACTAGCACATTTGTGGTTTTATTGAAATAGCTTTTGTTTTCTTAGTGATATTATTCCAATGAGACAGTCAATGTAACTATTCAGGGTGGGAGTAGGGGACTAATAAAAAGAGTGGTCTAAGACAATGAAGTGTGTTGTTCTCTGCTTACTTTAGCTAGGCCTCAGACTTGTGAATTAGTGAGTCTTCTTTCTTTTGAGCTATTCTATAGCTAATTTCAGTCCTGTTCTTTACTCATTAATAGTTCTACTGCATTTCAGATGGTTCCTGCAGAGAGCTCAAACATGCTCGTATAGAATGAATTCTTTGTTTTTGAGACAGAGTCTCGCTCTTTTGCTCCAGCTAGAGTGAAGCAGCAAATTTTGGCTCACTGCAACCCCCACTCCCCATGTTCAAGCGATCAACTTCCTGAGTAGTTGGGATTACAGGAACGCACCACCATGCCTGGCTAATTTTTATATTTTTAGTAGACATGGGGTTTCCCATGTTGGCCAGGCTGGTCTCAAACTCCTGACCTCGGGTGATCCACCTGCCTCGGTCTCAGAAAGTACTAGGATTACAGACCTGAGCCACTGTGCCCAGCCTAGAGTGAATTTATGATCATAAGACTTTTCCCTTTAAACTGTGAGATAGAAATAGTCTACCTGGCTTTGTCTTATTTAGTTGCAGGAAAAGTGAGGAGCTGAAAGTTCCTAAACTACACTCCAAAAAAAAAAAAAAAAAACCCCAGGAAATTAATATGACTTAAACCCAGCATTCCTGCCCCTGCTTCCTAAATTAACCCCGAACTGGATTAGAGAGTAAGAAATCTTTCTTAATTGCTTTTTAGGGATGAAGCCAGAAGTCACAGAACACAGACCATAATCATACCTTTACTAAGGAACTCAGAAAAGCCCATCTTAGGGAAATGAGGCTGAAAGCTGTTGGAAATAGATGCTCAGTGCACAAAGAAAAATTAGCACTGAGACAACGGATCTTTCAGCAATGCAGTTTTTACTTCCTGGTCTGCAGGAAGGGTACCCTTGTGAGGGCCATGGGAGTACAATAAACAAAGGAAAGCATGCAACGTTATCCCTTGTGCATTTGGGGTCGTCCTTACTGCTGTATCTGATCTTTGTTGGCTGGGGTCAGACCTCACCATTTAAACTAAAACCCTATTGGCTAACAACTTAAAACTTTTCTAAACAGGTAAAAGCAATGGAGAGCTGGGACATGGCTGTAAGCACGTCCAGCACAGATATTTTGGTTAAAGTACAAGGACATAGAATGTACTACGTGCCTGTAAGCATGGCATGTCTGACAGCTACATAGGATAGGGCTTAACAAAATTATTAGCACACTTACTCTTAAACAAGAAAGGAAACTTAAAAGAGGAACTTTTCTACTTCCCACAAAAGCTACCAGCCCATTAGTCGTGGAAAACAACCTGCTACCAATATAGTTCAGCTCCAACAGAGCTACGCTGAAGCTAACTTGTGCCTGTATTAGAAATCAAGCTATTATATATCAAGAGTCTCCTAGATGTCTTTAAGTCAAATCCCTGGAACAAGCTAGCAAGGCAGCCATTACTGTCCATGTTTTACAAATGAGAACAAGGGACACAGGAAGGCTAATCAGCCAGTTCATGGAAAAACATCATGAACCCAAATGGCAGTGTCAGAAATATAGAACTTCAGGGAATGGGCTCCAGCCAAAGGCAGAGAGATGAGGACATTGAGATATCCATGCACCCTCATGGCTCTAAGATGGTCACCTCACCTTCTGCAAGAGGGAGGACAGATGGAGAGAACAGCTGATCAGGGCCTTGGCTCTGAGGGCCCCCAGCTTGCCTCAAATCCTAGCCCTGTTGTCAGAGGCACTGGAACCAGTGCAATTCCATCTTGAACAGGGACTGGGTAAAGTAAGGCTGAGACCTCCTGGGCTACATTTCCAAATGATTAAGGCATTCTAAGTCATAGGATGAGGTAGGAAGTTGGCACAAGACACAGGTCATAAAGACCTTGCTGACAAAACAGCTTGCAGTAAAGAAGCCAACCAAAACCAAGATGGCAATGGGTGACCTC